CAGCATGCCCAGGAGACTACAGGCTATCATTAAGGCTAATGGTTGCCCGACTAAGTATTGCTAGTTGTGTAAATACTGTCATACTAACAGCCGTCTAATTTTTGGGTTGATCGTAATCCATTAGGCCACATACCTTTCTATCAAAGTTATCTAACATTATCAAGCTGAATTTGTTCTGCCACAGTTTAACTCTGAGTTCTTGTTATATTTTATTACCATTTTCTAAACTATAGTGAATAAACTGTGATAATGTGAGAAATGTTGAAGGTGTCTGAATAAATTTTGGTTTGACTATCTATTTGATAAATTAAGTTAACCAACCAACATTATACATACTCTTTTGGTTTCTGTACCCAATATTTAAAAAATGTACAAATGCAATAAAATATTGGTATCGGTACTCGGTATCGACAAGTACCAAAAATAAAAGTATCGGTATCGGGAGAGTACTGGAAAAAGTGGTATCGGTGCATCCCTAATGATTACAATATCAACGAAAACAATTGACAATTGTGATTATTGTCCGTTTCTAGCAGGCAGCCCGCTAGTTTTTGACACACAGCCAGAGTGTCATGTCCAGCCTCTCTGCAAATGATTTCTGCCGCTCCAGTGGGAATAAGCAGGTGCAGAACAAGCCCACAGAGAGCCATCTCACCAACACACGGCACGCTCGCAATAAACCAGGTCAGCGATGAGCAGAAAGGGACAAAGACAAATGGAGAATCCACACAGAAGCTGCTAGAGTGAATCACACTCACTTTGCTCCACGCAGCAGCACTGTAATGTGGAGACCGGTGTCGTTTTCACGCTTGGTTTGATGGCTTTCCACACAATACTATTTGGTTCTGACTTGCGATAGGTTTGTATGGTGAGTAACACTGCGAGTACTAGCGACAGATGTTTACCACTGTAACTAGGTAACGGCTTCACGGTTTTATTCATTTTTTTGTCCCTTTGGTTTTACTACCACAACAGCATGCCACTTGTGTCTGTCAAAGATGCACAAAACACAACGAATGCAAGATGCTCACCGAAGGCCATGGAAATGAAGTCATATATATACAAGCTACCAAAATAAGAAAAATCTAGATGAGAATGTCTAGCTTCATGAGACTAACGTACAGCCGACGGCTGGTCAACGTGTGGATATTTTCACAGCATGTAAGCTTTAGCATGCATCCCTGGCTGCTCTCAGTCCTGATGTTATCACAGAACGAGATCAGAAGGTTAAGAGCAGACCTCTCTGACTCCTTCAACTGCCACTGAAGCTATACATCATATAAGAGATCCAAAGGGGGACACTTGTCCTAGACATGCACTTGGTACAATCAATCACACTACTACCAACTCCAAAGAGAGAGAGAGACTGTTAGACCACCTGTTCAGACAACAGCAGCCACAACAGATCGCTCAGAAGGAGATACATCGGAGAAACCATCTGGACGCTGCAGATACTTCAGGATAAACACAGCTGAACTGAGAACGTCAGTGCTGGGAATGTAAACACAAGCATATCTGTTAGTGAAGGTGTGGTTGACTTCCTTTCTTTCACAATCGAAAAAAAAAAAAAAACAGCAAAAGTTACCAAACACTAACCACAGTGACGTGTATGAGGCAACAGTTGTGACAACACCAGTATGCACTCGTGCAAACTAGTGCACTATATACCATAAGCACAGGAGACAAATATTTAGGCTGCATCTGAATATTCCTTACTATATAGCAGGCAATAGTATGTGCAAAGAGCAGTATGTCCAATTTCATAGTAGTCCAAAAAAGAAAAAATTGCCGTGAAACACTGCAACTGACAATGACGTGATTACGGATGCACCGAAAATGAAAATTCTGTGCCAAAATCGAAACATCAGGATGCCCTTGGCCAAAAAAAAAAAAACTAATAATATCAGGCTTTTTAATTTCATGAATTTGAACAGATCTGAAATGAAAAACTACAAACCAATAAAATAATCACACATTGATTTTTTTTAATGAAAGCAGGCAGCATAGTTAAATTTTAGCGCTGAGGACAAGGGGCAAGACAACATATACTTTCGGTTTTTATTTCCAGCCTTTTTTCTTTCGGCCATAAACCAATAACGCCATTTTCGGCTGAAAATTATCAGCGGCCGAGCATCCCTAGGCACGACGAATGTAGTAAGTTTCGATTATATACATACTACACACATTCATACTATATAGAAAATACTTTTTAAGTTTCGCAAAAGACTCATTCAAAAGAAGTACATACTCGGAGAATATGCTATGCGATTTCCGCAAAAAAAAAAAAAAAAAAAACGTACTTAAACATGCAGTACATTGTGGAGGCTTGTTTCTGCCATGGCATTAAAAAAGGTTAACTATTCATCTCATAATTCTGAATTTATAACTCGCAATTCTGGGTAAAAAAAAGTTTGACATTTCAGATTAAAAAAAAAAAAAAACTCTGAATTTTGAGCCAAAAATTTACTTTTTTTATTTTTTGTTCCAATCATCCACAGTACTATACAACATAGCACACTGCATGGAAGTCCCAAAATGCAGTGCACTCAACTTAACTGGCCCAGTGACAAAAATGAACGTCACCTCATCATTATTTGATTCGTCTGCCCAACAAAATATTTTTTTTATCAAATTTAGAGTCGCAAGATAACTGGATGCCACTAGCTAAATTAAATATGTACGTAATATTGTCATGTGACAACAACAGCATAGCGTACTACTGTTTGAAATGTTTACCGTTATCAATAAAAGCTGATTCACATACTATTCTCTTCAAAAACAGGTAGTATTGCAGTCCAAACATAGCCTGTTGTGAGTAAACTTTACCCTACTTACTAGGGTTGAGCTGAAGGAAATCGACTCACTCTTTGGCTTGCTATTAAACAATACACATATTAACTAGTCAAACCAGTGTGCCTGTGTGTGTGTGTGTGTGTACTGTACTCAACAACTGGACCATTTCAAACAATCAACACAACCTACCTACTAACACATACCACAGTAAGAACAAAACAAACACACGAGAGCCCGATGTGAATGATTAAAGTGTACTTGGGTTCATTTAGCTGCATTTTCAGCAGGGAATGTAAATAAAAAAACGGAGTGTGAGTGTGTTGCAACAGTGCTGATGAGATCGTTTCTCAGGCATGTCCGTTTGTGGCAAACACTTCCTCCTTACAGGAAACATTCAAAACAACCACACGACACTTCAAATGTGAGCTGCCATAAAACTGGCTTACACTAATTAATAAACCATCAAATACAAACTGATTTGAAATGTTATATTTTTCTTTATGTACCACTTTTGTGCTTCCGCCGAGATTGTTTGGTAGTATTTTGACTGCTGTACTTATCTTTGATAAACATCTCTTTGAGTGACTTTGTGCGCATGTATATTCAGTAAATGAATATGACAGTTATGCCTAGTCATATCAAATGTCTATCCATCCATCTGTTTATCTATTCATGTGTTCAGTCAGTATGGTGCTGGCAACACCAAGGTTATGGGTTCGATTCCCAATATATGTATGAGCTGATAAAATATATACGCTGAATTTAATGCAAGTCACTGGAGATAAAAACATCTGCCAAATGCATGAATGTATAAATATATGTAAATATATTAGTGCTGTCAAATGATTAATCGCAATTAATCGCATCCAGTAAAAAAAAAATTTGTTTACATAATATATGTGACCCTGGAGCACAAAACCAGTCACAAGTAGCACAATAACATTTGTAGCCAAAAATACATTGTATGGGTCAAAATTATAGATTTTTCTTTTACGCCAAAAATCATTAGGATATTAAGTAAAGATCATGTTGCATGAAGACATTTTGTAAATTTCCTACCGTAAATATATTCAAAACTTAATTTTTGATTCGTAATATGCATTGCTAAGAACTTCATTTGGACAACTTTAAAGGCGATTTTCTCAATATTTAGATTTTTTTTTGCACCCTCAGATTCCATATATTCAAATAGTTGTATCTCGGCCAAATATTGTCCTATCCTAGCAAACCATGGCATCAATGGAAAGCTTATTTATTTGATCAGCTTTCAGATGCTGTATAAATCTCAATTTCAAAATATTGACCCTTATGACTGGGCTTGTGGTCCAGAATCACATATGTATTTACTGTGCATATTTATCATGTATATATAAATACACACACATACAGTATATATTTTGAAAATATTACATGCATTTACATGTATACATTTATATTCATATAATTTATAGTAAGTATATTTAATATATACACAAAACAACATTTTTCTTAAATATATTCATGCATGTGTGTGTATTTATATACACACACATAATAAATATACACAGTACACAAGTGCATATATTATGTAAACAAAAACGTTTATTTTGGATGCGATTAATCGCGATTAATCGTTTGACAGCACTATATGTAACAATCTAACTCCTTATCTATCCATACATCTTTTTCCATCGATCCATCCAGCTTTCTGTTCATCTCTTTATCGTCTGTACACTCATGCACCTTTTTATCCATCTACATATCCATCATTTTTCAATGTGCAAAGCCAAAAATGTCTTGAATAAGTCTCCCCTAGCAGCTCTGACTTGATTTGTGTGACTATAAAACACATCTTTGTTTTAGTGTCTTGGTCTGCATCACACAAACAGATAATCTCAGTGAGCGTGGATTCAAACACAAAGCTGCTCTGCCTAATTGTTTCCTTAAAGAGTCTGGCTAACCGGCTAACAGCAGGCCTGCCCTCACAACAGCATGAAAACATTGGCCATCTGAACCCGAGATAGTGAGCATGAAGCGCCATTTACTAGTAAACAAACGCGACGTGACTATATAATGCAGTGAATGCAGTCGACACGACGCACACTCGCGGCTGTCTCGAGCCCTAACGAGCAGACCACCGGGATTTGATACACAGCCCACCTCAAAATAGCCTAGACGCTGTGGATAATGGTGCTATTGACTACTAATCGCTGGTTAAGTTAAGTTACCTCGAACTGCCAGTGCGCCGCTTGCAGCAGCTGCTTCGCCTGATCCGCCGCGCAGCCCGCGGTCAAAACAAACTGGTTGATCATCACTTGATGTCTCAGCTCGTCCATATTCACCGACATCGCCGCTGTTCGCTCCTCCGCGACTCCCGTGGACGGAAAGCTCCGTGTGTGTCCGTTGAAAGCGAGCGTCGCTGCCAGGCCCGTCTCCCTTCACGCGCTCTCCTCGCTCGCCTTCCAGTAACAACAAATAGCTCATGTCATCATCACCGACAACAAACCCGAACGCGCTCTCTGATTGGCTACGGAGCCACAACAGCGAGTACACACGGGCGTCCCATTGGTCCATCGGCGAATGGGCAATTAAATTAAATTAAAGCAACGCGTCGCGCGTGGTTGGACGCTAGCGAGCGGCACGAGCGCTCTCATTGGTCAGAATAACAGGAAAGCGTCGCGTTTTTATTGGTCAGATGAAAACATTTCTTTTTTCTTATTATTATTAATGCCAAAATATTTTATTACAAGTGCAAAACTATACAATGTCAAGAACAATAGATGACAAAATATCACATTTAGATTTACATTTAGACGCTTTTATCCAAAGCGACTTACAAGTGAGGACAATAGAAGCAATCAAAACTAACAAAAGAGCAATAATATGCAAGCGCTATATGACATGTCTTAGTTAGCCTATATGTTGCAAGGTCTATCTATCTATCTATCTATCTATATATATATATATATATATACATATATAAAGAAACAAGTAGATAGAATAGAAAAATAATAGAGAAAGCTGGTGTGAAAATATCTCAAAAATAATACAAGGAAGAAAGTAAAATAAATAAATAAACTAAAAAAAATATATATAAATAAATAAGTAAACAACATAGCATGAACCAGAGGGGGGAAATTATACTATATAGGCTATATATATATATATATATATATATATTATACTATATATATTATGTATTATATTATAAGGTTAAACATTGAAAGCAATTTTTGACTTTTGGATTATTTGATAGTTTTTTATGCCCATCAAAGACAAAATGTGAGAATGATGAAAACATTTCTACTCATACTGTTCATAGTTCATACTGTGCACTGTACTCCTTTAGATTATAATGTGAGTAAAGGCAAAACCAATTTTATACATTAAAACCACCAGCATAATATATTAAATAAATAAATGAAAGACACGTGCAACCATTTGACTGACTGATTCATTTTCCTGATGTCCCAAGAGCATGAAGGCTTCAGTCAGGTGTAAATGGGCCTTTTGTTAGCAAGTGCTTTGAAATGAATTCAGGAGTTTCAACCCACCCAGCTGAGAGTCTGAATAATTCAGACCGGGTGTCAGAGAAAGCCTGTTATGGAGAAGGCTATCTATAATGTAATGGAGCTGGGCGTTTCTTCTGCGTTCTGTGTGTATTGAGTTGTAACTCAGTGATCTGGTTGTGAGAAGGGATTCAGTGACATTAGTGTTAGCACTGGGAGACTGCATGCTGGATATATGGTAACCGCACCTTTAACTGCATTAATCTACTCTAAAAAATGATGTAAGAAGAAAGTCAGTGGCGGCTGGTGGAAAATATTCTAGGTAGGGCTGTGCCACATCCAACAATTTCAGCAAATATGTAATGATAAACAGTTAAAGAAAAAGTAGTTTTTTTAAGTTAACAGAAGGACAAAATAAATTAATTACTAAACAGGACAATACAGTGTGGCAAGGGGACACATACACAGTTTGTTTGCATCAGGGGCACCTATGGTTTCTGGGCCCCCCTCGGCAGTGACTCGTGTGTGCCTGATGTATGACTCCTGTATGTCACTCACTGTAATCACCTTTACCTTTCTTTGCAATCGACATCCAGCAAAACTTTACTGGCGAGACACTGGTTTACTTCATAAACCCCCTACGGACTTGTCCTGACTTTTAGCAGTGGCTCGTCAGGGTCAATGAAATATCATGGGTTTGATTTCCAGAGAAAGCAAGACATTATCAGATGAATACCTTGAATGCAATGTAAGTCACTTTGGTTAAAACCATGTACCAAATGCATGAATGTAAATCCTGAATCAGAAATGGGCAAATCTGAACCCAGTTTGTGTGGGCCATTTCTCTAGTGCTCTATAGCAGTGGTTCCCAACCCTGGTCCTTGAGGCACCCCAACACTGCACCCAACCCTGGTCCTTGAGGCACCCCAACAGTGCACGTTTTGCATGTCTTCTTTCTCTGACACCAATTTCAGGTCTTGGAGTCTCTACTAATGAGCTGATGACCTGAATCAGGTGTGTTCGATTAAGGAGACATGCAAAAAGTGCAGTGTTGGGGTGCCTCCAGGACCAGGGTTGGGAACCACTGCTCTAGAGAACTTGAGGCGACATATATAGGAAAAGCTTATATTTTGCGCAGATGATTTCTGTC